GGGAGGGGGTGGGGGGGGGGGGGGGGGGGTGTTTTGCAGGATTTAAATGATTCATCACTTTCATTTGGAATGAAATAGTGGAGCTGAATAATTCAATCTTCTGCCGCAGCAGATGGAATAAAGAGCAACCGTTTCTGTACAATCGTCTCCCCCCCCTCACCCCCCCACCAGTGTCTCTGTACATACTCCGACTGTTCCACTCACTTCATACTCACATATACATAATTCATCCCCAGAGTGTGATGCAAGTTTCCAAACTTCCTCTTTACAAATGTTTACTCTTCCACCTCGGCCGTTAAAACTGACGCTGCGTCCGTGGAATCGTCAGCATCTCCACTGATTCTCCTCCGTCTTTATCTCTGTCAGAGACTCACGAGTTCTGCTCACTCCCAGATTTCAATCACACATGCAGACAAACAAACAGAGCAGCAAACTGTCTGCTCCACACACACACACACACACCTTCCATCCTTTGTTTTCTGGCTGCTTCTCATTCCATACGTGAGAGCTGAAAATCGAAGAATCGAGTCCTGGATGTTTGGGTTGTTTTTCTTTGTCCAAAGTCTTTAACAAATTGTTGCTGCCTCCAGCAGGAGCGGCCTCTGCTTCGTCTCAGTGTCTGTGCTCAACCATATCAGTGTTTCAACACTTATTGCTTTAAATTACATCAATCACTCCCTCCCCTGCCCTCACCCTCTCAATCCTCCCTGGGCTCATTTTTCTCCGTCTCTTTTTATTACTTTGCCTCTTCATCTTTCTCCCCTTTAACTTCTCTTCACATTATTTCAGCTCCAGTTGCCTTTTCATCATCCTCCTATTCCCTCTCTCCCTCTCGACCCCCCTTTTGCCCCATTTGTTGTTTTTTTTTTCCTCCCCTCTCCCCCTCAGTCTTTCCCCTCCTCTCCATCCCTCTCTCTTCTCTCCTTTTTCTCGGCCTCATCTCTGGTTTCTTTCACCTCTTCCTTCTCCTCCCTCTCCTTCTCTCTCTCCTTAAACAGTTGGGATAACTTGTGGAACTGCGGACCCCACTCCTCCAGCCCAGCCCCCCAATCCTCCTTCTCTGGATCCTTCTCCCCTTCACTCTCCAGGGAGCTGAGCGACCCCGCCCGGGAGCCTGTTCCCTCCAGGCCGAACACCTGCACCGAGTCGTACGGTGGCTGCGAGGGGTCAAAGGTGACCTGGGCCAGACGCAGACGCAGGAACTCCCCCACCCTCAACGCCAAGGAGGGCCCCCCGTGCCCATGGCTACCTCTCGTCGCCTCCATCCCCGGAACCCAACCGGCTCCAAAGCCCACCACTCCACTGTACGCTCCTCGAGGTTGCCCCGGAAAGGGCAAAAGCTGCGGGCTCATATCCCTCCTCCCCAAAATGAAGCCCCCCAAACCCACCCCATCACGCCAGTCCCCGATAAAGCCAGGCGGGGTCCCGGTCACTGATATGCCCCCTCCCTCCCTGTCTGGCCTGGACACCACAAAGTTGCTCCCCATCTCCAGTCCACCCCTCCCCAGGGTGCCGGCGTAGTCCCTGTGTCCAGACAGCTCCCCCTGCAGGACACTGGCATAGTTGCGTCCACTGGCAGGAAGCTGCTGCTGTCCATCTGCGGAGAAGCTCCCGTTATCATTCCCTCCCCCTCCGCCTCCCCCGCTGGAGTCAGACTCGGCCTGGCTGGAGCTGGTGCGTTTGGGGGATAATCCAGAACGAGACGCCCGGCGCCCCGCCAGAGGGAGCGTGGAGGAGTCGCCCATCCAGCTTCCTACCCCGTGGCCCTGGCCGACCATGGAGCCGGATCGGGTCATGACCAGATTAGGCTCCCTGGACAGGGTCTCTGGCTGCACCTGGAGGGGAGCATGAGCGGCGTCAGGGGGGAGGTACGGTGCAGAGTCGCCGGGTTTGGTTAGAAAAGTACAAACATGGAATGGAACCGATGCCCCCTAGGGATGAGTTTGATATGGAGTCGTCTGTCGTTTTTGTTTTTTGGTGCTTGTGCTCCAAACATAGGGGGCGAGGCCCGATGTGCTGTCTGATCATAGAGGTTTCAATGATGTGAACAACAGAAAGGCTGAGAGCGATGATGATGTGGACGGAGCGGAGGGAAACGCAGCAGGAAGGAGCCAGAGATTAAAGACTAGAATGAGCTAACACTGCACTGTGGTCGGGAGATGAGGGGGGAGGAGGGGGAGGGCGGGTGAAGTGATTGAGAGATAAAATATTTGGAAATTAAATAGAAGAAGAACCATGCAATGGGCTTAATAAATAAAGGAAAAACACAGAAAAGATAATGAGCAGCAGAAAATAAATCTGCTGATGTGAATAAATGATCTCCCCCACAGCCTCGTCTCCCCCACAGCCTCGTCTCCCCCACAGCCTCGTCTCCCCCACACACTCGTCTCTCCTG